ATAGCCTTTTCCATTTTATCTCCTGGCATGTTGACTTAAGATTAAATTAAAAGATGTTGTTGTTTTGTTAGTTATATTTATTTAGTTGTTTGACAAATGTTTTAAAACACTTTTACAAATATTTTATTTACTTGACAAAATGTTTTAGTTACTTGACAAAATAATTATTTTGTATTGTTTGATCCGGAATATTAGGAATAAAGTATTAAGTATATTTCTAGGGATCCAAGCCGTAGAAGTGAATACTTAAGTTGATTAGATATAAGCTCTATGAGGTTATAAACTATTATAATAACTATACAGTATTATTAATATATATAAAGATCTCTGTCTCTCTTTTAATAGCAAGAAGTGTGTACCTTATACTTCAGGAACTCCGTCCTTTATATATGTCGCGTTAGCCATTTATTAGCGTCATTGCAATATTCACATGTAAGGTAAATCCTTTTATCTTAATCTTGTCACTTTGTACTAACGCTGAATCAATACACCTTAACAAACTATTAGAATGCCTTCACTAAATAATACAACAAAAACTCAACAAATAAAGCCTTGTTGGCGCAATCGGTAGCGCGTGTGACTCTTAATCACAAGGTTAGGGGTTCGAGCCCCCTACAGGGCTTTCAACTTTATTTATTTTTTATTGCCAATTTTTTTAAGTCTTTTTCTTATACGTAGTAATAAAGTTTTTTGAATTCTATTTCAAGATACTTCCATTTTGAGTGTATTCACTCTGTCACGGAAAATTGCTGTTTATACCAGCATAAAAATGCATCTATAAACATCCGAAATATTATTGAAATCTGGATCACATTTCTATTTTTACATGGATGACATAATTAATTCTCTTTTTTGGATTTAATAGAAGCTTACACCTAATATACACCAAATAGGTTAATAACATAAGAACCTGTTGTTAATTATAGTTTTTACATAAGTTAAGAATAAGTTACCCACACTCAATTATAATCTTTGCCATTTTACCACTTTTAATTCAATTAAGTGTAACAGTGAGGTCAGACCTTAATTTTCTATTTGTCTGTAAATTCAGTAACGTTACTGCTTGTATCATATCTTTTCAATATATGAAGACACCTGTTCAAACCTACAAATTAGACACTTAATAAGAACCATTGCTACTCGCAGTTGGTTAGAATAAAAACCATATTGGCTATTACATCAAAGAAGTGGAATTAATTGAATTGGGCTTCAAAATGATCTCTTTGATATTAAAATATTTAGAAGTAATTTATTCCCAATTTGTGTCATTAGAAACTAGAGCGAAGTTAAATATATATTCTCTACTTTTATGAAAAGACCATTAAATAAAGAAAACCAACTTTGTAATATAGTGAAACCTCCATTAAATTAGCACCAGCTGATAAGTGGTTGGACAGTGCCAAATATTACCCCTAATATCATAAAATAAAAGGTAACTTTGTAAAAGAGAAATCTATCGTTCTAACAAAATTGTAATAACAAGTTAACTTTGAAATAAATTTATTAAGCGTTAGGTTCTACAAAACTGAAGTTAACAAGATGAGTGCCGCATTGAATCTTAAATCTTCTGTGAAGGAAACAAATAACAACGCTATTTCATATAGTAATAATATATCAAGATATGAGTGGGGGAAAAAATGTCTTCAAAGAAATACGGCTTGCAAAAAAAGAAAGAGAGATGCTACTCAAGGTGTTGAAAACTTAAATCTAAGAACCAATGAAAATACAAATCCTGATAAAACTATAATGAAATATTACATAAACCAGGGAAAAATATTCCTGAATACAAAAAGAAATCTTGAATATGTCATGATTAACCATAAGGACAAATATAATGTCAGAAATGGGTTGAATGAGATTAAGCCATACGAAGATATTAAAGAAACTATAAATAATGATTCAAATTTGATATTAGATGTAGAATCATCTTTATCAACTTCCTGTTGTTCCATATCTACTAAATTATCTGACTTTTCATTATTAGGTAATAGGAGAGTTTTTTCAAATCAGTATGATATTTTTTCCCCACAGATATCAGAAGAAAGAAAAAATACATTAGGCAAAAAACGTTTTCAAAAACAAATCTCTGTAAATGAGATAAAAAAGAACAGTATTTTATCACAAGATAATATAAAATTCTGTGATAAAAATTCAATTGATGGGATCCACGACACAGCAGAGAATATTGGAGCTTCAACTACAAAATACTTATTCTCTCAGTGTAATTTCAACAATATTAATAATGATATTAATAGTTTGAAATACCCAGATTGTGATATCCAGTCACTACTCCAGTATATTGATTATACTAGTAAAATGCATCATGAAGACGACAGCAAATTCCTGGAGAGTATATCCAAATTTCAAAGTTCGTCAATTAATAGAATCTGGGAACCTGACGAAATAGAATCTAACTGTATACGAGCAGTCTCCTCCAGAAAAAGAGATATTATTAGAAATAACGAGAAAGACCAATATATAGACAACGTACCAATGCCAAAAGATGATCCTGAAATCATAACCATAACTTCAACTAATTATAAAAGTGAGAAAAAATATAAATTTAGTTTTTGGAATAAACAAAGCGCTAAATGGTGTCTCAATTTTAGACCACATAAAGCAGGATCAACGGATAATGATAATAAGGATAAACTAACCATCGTATCATTCAAGAAACATTCTGAAGAAAACAAAGTTCAGGAAGACAAATATTTTCACTTAAAGAATGTTTTAATTCTAAAGAAGAGATTGAGATCAATTTTACCCAATTGTCTTAGATTGGTTAAAGATTTTGATTGTGACAGCAAAACCTTCAGATTTTACCAAGAACAATTGGTATATACTAAGTTGATAAGTCAAGAACTTTTATTGCCAAAAGAAAGGGAAAACTGTTTTAAAACAGTTTTAAAATCTTTAATACCTAGATCCAACAAAATTAGTAAGAAGAATAATAGAATCGATGAGATAATTGAAGAAGCTTTAATTTCAGAGGGCGACTGGAAACCAAATTTTGTTGGAAAACGAAAAGTTCCAAGAAGACACATAATACGAGTATGGAACAATAAACAATTTGAAGAAATGGTAATTAAGGATTATATTTATAAAGAATGTGCTCCCAATGGATTTGAATATATTAGAAGGAAAAAAGCGAAGCAAATAATGGAAAATTATATTTATCAAACTTGTGCCCCGGAAGAGTTTTATAAAATGTATAAAAATATACAGAGAGGATCGACTAAACATAAGATTTCCAATAAAAATCTCCCCGACATTATAGAGAGTATGACTGTAAATGACGTCAAAGAGTTGTATCCTGATCTGTATTACCATGTGGAGCACATGATAAGCATTTATAAGAACAATTATATACTATAATAAATACTTCTGTATACAAGCTATTTTAATTGTGGCAAAATATTTCAAATTGCAAAGAAATGTTTAAAACGAATATACGTAACGATGTTTACATTTAACAGGTCGCTAATAAAAAAGAAAATGAGAGCTATGGGGTTCGAACCCATGCATCCGAAGATATCAGAGTATTTAAGTATTAGGAACAAGATATTCCCGCAGTAACCTAAATCTGACGCCTTAGACCACTCGGCCAAACTCTCTCAAAACGTTAGCGTTTGTTCTAATGAATTGGTTTATCATTGTAATAATATGGAATGTCCGGGTTATAAGAAAGCTAATACCCAGACAATATTATTTAAGGGAATAACAAACGTCACATGACCAATGTCAGCAATAAATATAAATATTATATTAAAAACATCTTGTATCAATCACCAAAATGAATCAATCAGATATTACTTTTACATCTGAACAGAATGTATCGATTTCTCAAATATATAAAAGGAACAAATTTTCAGTTCCGATATATAAAACTATTTATGTTATATAGACTACTCTGTTACAAGAGGATGAGCGAGTTACCACTCACTGACCTCAGTAATAGGTCAAAATGTCTATTTAACGTATGTCTACTTACATTGAAGTTTAAAGCTTATACCATTCTGACAAATAAATATATAATAATAAATTGGATTATATATTGTCATCGCGGCAATTGTCAATCATTGCGTCATGACAATATCCTGTGTACCTACAACTATATTACCTATATTTTAGGTCACAACAAACTTAAAATGTAAAAATCGAACCATAAAGAAACAACTGACCTTAAAGCATTCAAGGTAGAATTCAGATGTCTGTGTTTACTGTAAGTCCAGCATCTTGTCTTGAGAATTCATTATTATATCATGTATTAGTAAGATAATATTGATATGTGTTGTGCTTTTAACCTGGATACTCTAGGATAAAATTTACCTCACTATCGATTGTATTTCGTACAAGTTGCGTTTATTGATTTAATTATAACCTAAAATATAGATGATACATCTATAAGTTTCCTGAATATTGTTATGACGTGATAAATAGTATTTTTTGCCCTTACAACATTTAACAGAAGATTACTAATATATTGATAATAATATCAGGAAATAATCTGTCAACAGCATTGATTAATTGCCAATAGCAAAGTCGATCATCAGAGTAATTTCTTCTATATATAAGAGATACATATTTTCAGTTCGAATATATAAAACTATATCTCATATAGACTACTCTGTTACACAAAGGAGAGCGAGTTACCACTCACTGACCTCGGTAATAGGTAAAAATGCCTATTTTACGTATATATACTCTATTAAAGCTAAGAACTCTTATAATTCGAACATTATAAACTTTGACGCTATTTATATTCCAAATATTTCGATAAAACTTTTCCTTTCACCTTGATGTTGATTTGTAATCACCAACTTTTTGAGTCTGTTGTACTGGCAATTAGCGAGCCGCCATATTTGCTAATACTGAATATGGTATGTAGCAGTTTGGACATTACGCGTGCCCATATGAGGCTGAGTGATTCTTAAAACAAATTTTGATTCCCACAATTAAACTGTCAACAATAAAAGGAATTTAAGTTATAAGTTTGTACCATGTATATCATAATACAAGCCAAAAGAAAATAATATATCATAAGTCCTCTTTGTTGATTGTTTCTGTAAAATCCCAAGCATTCTTTAGTATCATACCTTCTTGATTGTGTATTCAAATAAAAAGCATGGTACGTTATTGTTGAACTAACTGTATTATGTTATTATTATTTTTATAATAAAGGTTAGTTCATAAGTCTTATAAATTATTCCATTTTTACCTTTTACGTTTACAAAATTGTTAAATTGAAAAAGATTAATCTATAAATATATATATCAAAAAGTTTAAATAAAAATTCTCTCTGATTCCTTTCTAGTATTTCTCTGGTAATGAAGTTTACCTATTATATTTTCAGGACTTTCATGGAAATTAATATTTAAAGGAATTATAATAATTCTTGTGAATAACATAAAAAATAACGTTCACGATTCTATTGGTCTTGAGATGGAAAATACTAAAGCTATAAGAGTGCCCAGTTATAATAGTAAATGATTGAAAAATGCATTATATCCTCAAGTGAAAATCAAAAAAATAAAATTTTATGTACAACTTAAGGTGACACCATAACCTCATCCTCAAATTAGTTTCCATATGTTTCGAACAAACAATTGGGCAAAATCAATTCCCCCCGGCCGGAAACATTTTAGGAATGCTCCTTAAGAGACTCTTTTAACCCAAAATCAAGTTAACGGCCACAAAGTTCGAAAAATACCTCGCCGCGTGTATTGAGAGGAAAGGTTTCCATCATTATTATTGGCCCCCTTTACACCTTGGCTCAAAGGGAAGTTTTGAGGGTTTAAACACCCCAAAAGTGTAGATTC